TCGAAAGTGCCACGAATTTTGTAAGTCTTATAAGAATCTGATAAGAGATTTGTAAGAACTTTGGAATTGTCAGAAGCTCAAAGAGGAAAAATTCAATAACAACGAATATGCAACAACTTAATTGCTAGTATAACGGGCTTTCATCTGACTGTTTTCGGTTAGCAAAGCTTCGGAAATGTAAAGACAGTCTAAAAACCGGGTACGCAATTCTAGCGTATCAATTAGTTAATCGTTGCGAAACGAAAAAAATCAATATTTTAACTTTTTTACAAATTTCGAAAACTTTAGAAAATTTTGGTTAGAAGACCACCCTAAGAAGTTTGATCACAATAGAAAGGTTGACTGAGCTTAATAATGTATACATAGGTTTGCATTTTTAATCGAGCCACATTTTTTCATCTATTGTTCTTTCTTTCATCTGATAGAATATTAAAATCCTATCCGTCAATAAAAACTGTTTTTATATCAAGTATTGTTATGGCTGAAGATAATAATATTGATTTGAATGAAAATAATGAAGCAAGTTTAATATGGAAACGTGAATTTAAAAGTCGAGTATTAACTCAATTACTTCATGTATTAGATGAAATAGTATCATCGATCCAGTATGATGATGAAAATGCCATAAAAATGAAAATTAAGACGTTAAGTAATTCTCATTCAATGCATAATCTAGACTATATGGTATGTACAATGTTGCTTTAAATACATAATGTTAATTTTTACTTTTCATTTTGTTTAGTCTTTAAAGCAAAGTATACTTGATGCAATAAAAGTCGAAATTAATGCTAATATTATACAAGAACAAATTTTGAATAAATTTTTTACATTTGTTTTTGATCAGATCAATAACGATATTAAAAGTGACAGTGCATAATATAAAATCTAATGGAAGAAGTCATTAGTGAAAATGGAAAATATCGATTGAATAAAAATCATCATTTTCTTGGTAAACATAACTTTGTTGTCCATTGGTGATATAACGCAAAAAATCAAACTACTTTCGAAGACTAAAAGTTTATTAATTTCAATGAATTAAGAACAAAGATTATTTGGGCTTTTATTCTTGAAAGAATTCGTAGAACTGTTCAGTTTAGTAGTTTTACATGACAGATTCTTATTTCTATCTAAGTTGCTTGACTGTTTTTTGTTTTAAACAATAACAGACGTATGCGGTTCCTTGATTGATAAGACGAATGCTTTTATTCTCAAAGACGTATTTAGTCACGTTAGAATGTGCGTACAGATGCCGGAGTATAAGCTGAAATGAGAAAAAAAAATCGTTATCATTAGTCGGATGTATCCTCAGAGTAAGACCGATAGCAGCTAAAAACCTGCAAATTGTCGGAAAAACCAAGTCGATTTGTAACTGTGCAGAGTATTTGGCAGCTATCTAGATGGGTACACGAAAAATTCAAATTGACATCCAAATAGAAATTAATGATGAAGAAGAAAAGTGAGACAGTCTTCTACAATGAGTGCATAGTATTTTTATCTTTAAGAGTATGATGATTTTTTAAAAGTTGTCAGCTTTGTCATTGTTGTTTATGAAGTTTTAAAACTTGTATATGTCTTTGTTCTGTTTTTATTCAGTATAAATCCCTTTTATACTCTGTATTTATTAACATATACACTGTAAGGTTGAAAATTATTCATGGAAAATGCATGGCGAATTTCAAAGAGCACCTATAAGAATTTCTCGAGGATTTTTCAGTTTATAGAGCAACAATCTAGAAAATCGTCTGTGAATTTCCATAAATAATTTTCAAACTGCTGGAAATTCGCCAAGGAATTTTCACTTTATAGGAAATCGACGTTGAATTTCTATAAATAATTCCCAAGAAAGTAGAAATTCCTTTTTGATTTTCTACAAACTAAAAATTCATCGACGAATCTGCATCGAGTGATGGCGGTAACAGGTTGTATTAGGTTGACCCTGCCCCTGCTTTTGAGAAAGTTCTGATGAACGTCTCCGATTTTGGGATCTTCCTATCGAAACTTCGCGCCACTACTGTCTCTGCCTAAATCAAAATTCTTGCTGGCATAGGCAGAACGGTGATTTAAAGTGGAAACTGTCAAAGCTAATTTAAGTGTATAATATAAGTTTCTTTACGTGACGCTCTTATACCTACACTGATTGCAAAACAAAAAGGTGAATAAGTTGTTGATCTAGAAATTCCTGCGCGAATTTTCACTTTCTAGAAAATCGATTGAATTTCTATAAGTAATTCCCAAGAAACTGGAAATTCGATGTTGAACTTCCAAATTCTTGGGAATTATTTATGGAAATTCAACAACTTTCATAAAGTCGAAGATTTCTCGAGGAATTTCTATAAACTGGAAATTTCTTTGGCGAATTTTGAGTCGATTTTCCATAAATTAGAAATTAATTCAAGATTAAAGTGTACAGAGTAACAAAACTGAATGAAAGAAATGTATATAGTAATTGCTTTAACTACTCGCTTTATTATTCAAACTTGCAACACACCTTAGCCAAAAAAATAGATCGTTGCCCTAGTGAAGCTTTTTTTCTCAAGCACATGAGTAAGCACATACCTCAAGATTTGTCTCCATGCATATAAATTTCTTACTCATGCAAAACGCTTGAGGTATGTGCTTGACTTTCTTGTCTCATGCGCTTGAGTTGCATGAAGTATGCGCATGAGGGGAGAAATATCTAAAACAATGTGCATACCTCAAGAAACTCAAGTGCATGAGACAAGAAAGTCAAGCACATATCTCAAGAAACTCATGTGCATACCTCAAGAAAGTCATGCATTATCGATTTTCTGCGTTGTAAATAGCTCTAGCTTCGTGTTTTAGACTTGATTATATCAT